AAGTAAGAATAAAATACTTAATTTGAATAAAATACTTTGAAATTAACAAGGAGGTGAAAGACTTGTACGATGAAAACTAAAAAATATTGCTGAAATTAAAGACACAAATGGAAACACAGCCCATGTTCACAGATTAAAAGACAACATTTTTAAGATGTCAGTACTGAGAGTGATCTATGTATTCATTGCCAATTCCTATCAAAATCACAATGATATATATATTTTTAAATATATTTTATTGATTTTTTACAGAGAGGAAGGGAGAGGGAGAGCGAGCTAGAAACACCAATGAGAGAGAAACACTGACCAGCTGCCTCCTGCACACCCTGCACCGGGGATGTGCCTGCAACCAAGACGAACCTGGGACCCTTCAGTCCACAGACCTACGTTCTATCCACTGAGCCACACTGGTTTCGGCCCCAATGATATTTTAAAAAAATGTATTTTAATTAATTTCAGAGAAGAAGGGAGGGGGAGAGATAGAAACATTAATGATGAGAATCACTCTAAACTGCCTCCTGCACATCCCACACTGGAGATTGAGTCCTCAACCTAGGCATCTGCCCAGACTAGGAATCAAACTGCCACCTCCTGATTCATAGGACAATGCTCAGCCACTGAGCCATGCTAGCTGGGCACAATGACATTTTTAGTAGAAATAGAAAAGCCCATTCTAATTTTCATGTGGAATCTCAAGAGACCTTGAGAAGCCAAAACAATCATGAAAAAAAAAAAAAAAAAAAAAAAACCAATCTGGAAGACTACCACTTCCTAATTTCAATACTTATTACAAAGTTACATTAATCAAAACTATGTGGTACTGGCCCAAAGACAGACACAGACCAGTGAAATGGAATAGAGAGTCCAGAAATAAACCCCTACATTTTTGATCAAGTGATTTTCGATGAGGGTGCCAAGACCATTTAATGGGGATAAGTCTTTTAACAAATGGTGCTGGAAAGAAACTGAATCTTTATCTAACACATAAAAAATTTAACTTAAAATGTATCAAGAATGAAAATATAAGACCTAAGACAACAAAACTCTTAGAATAAAATATAGCAGCTTCACAACCCCAGATTTAGCAATGATTTCTTGGATATGACACCAAAGGCACATATAACCAAAGGGAAAATAGACAATTAGGACTTCATGAAAATGACCTATAGACTGGAATAAAATGTTTGTGAATCGTATATCTGGTAAGAAATTAATACTAAGAATATTTAGAGAGCTCCAAAACTCAACAACTAAAACCTCAATTCAGAAAGGACAAGGGACCTGAATAGACATTTATCAAAAAAGATTCAGGAATGTCAGTAAGTACATGAAAAGATGCTCAACATATCATCAGGGAAATGCAAATCAAAACTACAATGAGATACCACTTTCTATCCATTTGGATGGCGACCATCCAAGTAAAAAAAAAAAAAAATTGGTGATGTAAAATGGTGCAGCTCCTGTGGAAACAGTATGGAGTTGCCTCAAAAAATTAAAGACAGAATTACTATATGACCCAATAATCACACCCAAAAGAATTAAAAGCAGTGTCTCAAAGAGATATGTATATACCCATGTTTATAGCAGCATTGTTCACAATAGTGAACATGAACATGTGAATAAATAAGCTGAATGTGGTATATATATTTTTCAGCTTAAAAAAAAAAAAAAAAAGGAAAATTCTGCAATATGCTACAACATGGATGAACCTTAAGGACCTTACATGAAAAAGGACAAGTATTATATGCTTTACCACTGAATATGCTATTATTATTAAGGTTATTTATGACCCCAAACCAGTGGTCAGTTCTCAGCCCTCATCTTACTTGGCACTGTTGGGAGATGTTTTGATCGTCACAACTTTGGGGGACAAAGAAGAGGAGGTGGCCTCCAATGGGTTCAGGCAGTTAAACATCCTGTATACACAGGATAGGTCTCTCTTCCATCAATTTTTGGTCCAAATGTTAATAGTACTTCAGTTGAAAATCTGATCTAACCAAAGGGGAGGAAGGAATCTATGCAATTAAGACTGTTTGGATCTGGGAGAAGAAAATGATGCAAGAGTAAAAATTAAGATTTCAAGCTGAGTTGATGAGACTGAGTTTTGGAAATAGATACTTGAAAATACATCCATATAGATATGTAAATTCTATGAAAAGACAGCTGGATAGATATACAGACTGATATAGACAGATGACAGATAGATAGACCTACAGATATATAGATTTGCAGTTGATAGTAAGAGTCTTAGGGCAGGACCCAGGGAGAAGAGCCTGCTATTAGAAAAATACGGACAGCCGTTTTAATTTTTGGAAATAGTTGTAATGAGTCAGATCTGTGTTTTAATCTTGGGCCTGTGTTAGTCATGTAAGTTTGGAGCCAAGTTTATTTAACTTGTATCTTAGTTTCACGATCTTTAAATAACATTTTAAGCAGCACCATCCATTCTCCTAAGTACCCTATTACCTTATGTACTCATTTTATATCTCTCTCTGTCTTTGTGGATATATTGATATCTCTTGTATCTCCTTTTAACATCCATTTTTGGGCATCTGACATACCTACGTTTTGTTCTACAACACTGTAGTCTTTCTGACAATAATGTAAGATTTAATTATAATATAGTAACAATTCTAAATATTTTACCAGTCTACTTGAAATGACATGAGCTGAAGCAGCTTAGAAGGTGAGTCCAGCTCTACCAACCAAGTTTTTACTGTTCAAGCTCATAAGCCTCAATTTCCTCACCTATAAAAACAGGTATAAATCAAAGCTATGTGGTACTGGCATAAAAACAGACCCACAGATCAGTGGAACAGACTGAGAATCCAGAAATAAACCCATGCACATATGATTAACTAATTTAACACAAAGAAGCCAAGAATATAGCTTCTTCAATAAACAGTATTAGGAGACTGGGCAGCCACATGAAAAAAACAAACACACACAAAAAAACCCTGAACCACTATCTTATACCATATACAAAAATCAACTCAAAATAGATTAAAGACTAAAATAAAATGTAAGACCTGAAAAGCATAAACTAGGAAGAGCTCCTAGTTATCAGTCTTGATGATCTTAAAAAATTTTTATTTCACACCAAAGCAAACAAAAATAAACAAATTGGGCCTATTAAACTAAAAACCTCCTGTACAGTGAACAAAACCATCAACAAAATGAAAAGGTAACCTGTGGAATGGAAAAAAATATTTGCAAATCATATATCTGATAAAAGGTTAATATCCAAAATAAGCCATACAACTCAACAGAAAACAAATAATTCAATTAAAACATGGGGAAAGGATTTGAATAAACATTTCTCCAAAGACATACTGATGGCCAACAGATCCAGGAACATGTGCTCCACATCTCTAATAATCAGGGAAATCCTAATCAAAACCACAATGAGATTATCACTTTGCAACTTTTAGAAGGGCTAGTACCAAAAAGAGGTAAGTGCTGGTAAGAATGTGGGGAAAAAGGAACACTTGATGCACTGTTGGTAGGAATGTAAAACGGTGCAAACAGTATGGAGGCTCCTCAAATATTTTAAAACTAGAGGCCCAGTGCACAAATTCTTACACATGTGGGGCCTATCTGGGACAGGCCTTCCGGGAGGAGGAGACAGAGTAGATTGGCCAGCTGGAGGGAGGGGCCGTGGGCGATTGGCTGGTGGGTCCCGCCCCTAATTAGGGTGGGAAGGCCAATTGGGGGGTTCGGTCAGCCATGGGGAGGGTCTGTGGGCAGTAAGCCGGATGGACCTGCCCATGAATGGAGTCGAGGGGACCAAACTGGGGGGGTGTGGGGGGGTTCAGTGGCCCAGGGAGGTTGGCTGGCCAGCCCCACCCGATTGGTGTTGGGGGGTGGGGGGGGGAGAGCAATCAGGGGTGGACCTGGCAGGAGGGTCTGAGGGCTAATTGGGGTGATAGGCACTGATCAAGGGTGGGGCCAACTATGGAGAGGGGCTGTGGGCCAATCGTGGCGGGGTGGGGCCAGCCGGGGGCAGGGACTTTGGGAGGTTAGCCAGGCAGCCCCATCCCCCAATCGGGCAGGATCACTAGCTGCATTGGGTGTCATTGGAACCGGTCGTAATAGCATTCTGGTTACTGGCTTTTTATATATATAGATAGAACTGCCATATGGATATAGAATCCAAAAGGGCAGGTGGAGAAGAAACTGGACCACTATCTTATACTGGTATAGTGTTCGTTGTGGCATATTCACTATAAACATTTTGACAAAACTTGAAAGTGTCTGTCAATGGATGAATAAATAGAAGATAATACACATACCTACACACCACACACACACACACACACACACACAATCGAGTATTATTCAAAGAAAGAAGGAATTCCTGTCATTTGTGACAACGTGGATGGAGCTAGAGAACAGTGTTATGCTAAGTAAAACAAGTCAGACAGAAAAAGGCAAATATGCATGGTATCTATCACTTACATATGGAATCAAATGAATAGGTATAATAGGACCAAATTCACAAATATAAGTGCTATAAATGGCAGTATTGTAATTCTTTATTATAGCGTCCTCTTCCCATTTCCTTGATTGTTTGGTAAACATATGGGGATTTCTTCTCTTAAATCTAGTGTCCACTTTCTGGCTTTCTCTTGTCTTTCCATGAAGGTAAAATTAGACACGGTGTAAGGGTATTGTCCTTGAGCCCACCTTAATTTCCATATAATGGCATTATTCCATTACTCATCTCTTTTTCCTACCAACTTATTTACAAAGACTTTTCTTTATTATATGCTAATTTTCCCTTTTCCTTCTTGCCCAATTTTTGTAATAATCTTTGTTTACTTCCCTCAAGGTAAACATATTAGTACTCATACTTTAAGTCTTTACATGTACTTAAAGACTCTTCAGAACACAGTCTGGATCAAATGAAGAATCACTGAACTTCCTACAGTAATTCATTAAATTTAAAACCAAGTTACAAATGTTTTGGGGGAAGGGGGGGAATCCTCCCCCCCAATTACCTGAGATCTGTGGAGAATTTGTGTGCTCAGAAGTTTCTAATGTACGGTAAGTGGGAGACGAGTCACAAACAGGATGCAATGAAAAATGAACTACTTCTCAGATTCTAACTGGAGTTAGAGACCAGTGAGATGTTACGTAAAAGTAATCAATTTCTTTAATATAACCTAATATATAAATGTTAAGTACTAAATTCTGAAAATCCTTTATTTGCTATTTACATTTCTAATTTCACAATTTAGGTATTACCTATCAGGAGCTAACAGACAAAAGTCAGGGCCAGCCAATTTATCCCAGTAAAATACTTGCACACATAAAAAGGTTATATAAATTAATTGTACTAAATATGTTATAATCTAAATTTAGCAAAATAATCCTAAACAAAACTGTGGGGTCTGAAGTTGAGAAATTATAGGACTTTAAATTTAAAAATTAATTAGCCCTGATTGGGTGGCTCAGCTGGTTGGAGCGACACTGCATACACCAAAAGGTGGTAGGTTCCACTCCTGGTCAGGGCACATACCTAGGTTGTGGGTTTGATCCCTGCTCGAGATGGAAATGGGAGGCAACCAATGTTTCTCTCTTTCTAAAAAATCAATTAAAAAATAACATATCCTTGAGTAAGGATTAGAAAATTAATTAAAGCTGACAATTTCACAGATAATATCTGCATATGCCACATATATCATTCTGAATTGATTTTCATCATACCTGTGGTATATTTTCAACAATCAGATGCTTAAAAAATATATTGATATTTACCCACTGCTTCTTCTTGGTCTGAGAAATTAGTTGTTTGTGCTGTGTTGCTAGCTTCTTGATTTCCTCTACAAACTCTTCTTTACACTTTTCCTTTACTTGTTTACATTTTCTGTCCATCTCACCCTGCATATTGGCAACAGCCTTGTTTACAGCTTGTCTTTTTTCTTCTTCCATTTCAGAACGCAGCTGAAATGAAAAACAAGTTAACCCACACTATGTCAGGTCATAATGTTTTTTTTAAATATATTTTATTGATTTTGTACAGAGAGGAAGGGAGAGAGATAGAGAATTACAAACATCGATGAGAGAGTCATCGATCAGCTGCCTCTTGCACAACCCCTACTGGCGATGTGCCCGCAACCAACGTACATGCCCTTGACCAGTATTGAATCCGGGACCCTTCAGTCCCCAAGCCGACGCTCTATCCATTGAGCCAAACCGGTTTCAGCCAACCCACAATATGTCAGGTCATAATTTACGAAGACCTTAATATATAGTTTCTACTTAAATGATGTACCTCTTCCCTTTATTTCACAAAGAGCTGTGAATATTTAGGTGAGAAATATCTAGGTATTGTTGATTGAAATAGCATAAAAGATATTATATTCCTATTTTTAGTGTCATTTTTAGTTTTAAAAAGCAGCTGTCTGGCTGAGACACTAGTGAAAGCAGCTAAACTGCTACGGGGAAAGACTCCCTCACTATGCCCAGGGGGAAGAGGACAGACACGCTGTGTGGGCTCCTGACCTTTTCCAGAGCTTCTCGTACAACTCTTTCAGTTTCTCGCTTGTGATCAGACTTCATTCGGTCTTTAAAGTCATTGAAAATTTTGGTGTATTTGTCGTGGCACATGCTTTGACACACTCCATCACTGGTGGTCTGGGTGCTTCGATGCAGCATTCTTGGTGAAGAGGCACTTAACTTCTTGGTCTGAGTTGACACTGAAACTTTTTCGATTGGCTGAGGCAATGCGGGGATTTCCTGGCTGGAACTGACTGCTTCAGTTTCAGGCTCTGGTTCCTAAAGGTAAGGAAAGTCCCTCAATGCAAAACTAAACCTTTAGCTCACAGTTCAAAAATAAGCTCTATCAGGATAAAACAGTGATACACATCAACAGCCGTATAAGAAGCTGTCTTTAAAAAACACATGTAATTAACAGAAAGTACACGCTATCAGTTATACTTCGACACACAAATGGGAAAAAATGGGAAAAAACTAAAAACTCATGCAATTAGAGCTACAATGGTTCTAACAATAACTTCATCTACAGTTTCATTACATGTTAATGCTCATTTGATTTTAAAAGACTAAATAAAAATATTTATCATTTTAAATCACTATCAACTTATAGTCACTTTTTGGACTAAATTTATTAACAAATTTCTTAAAATCCTAAACTACTTTTCAATGAACATGTGTTTGGCCTATACCTAAATATACACCTGGATTTAAAACATGCATGAATTACCTACTTTAACAGGTTGAGCTTAACCACAGTTTCCTCCAGTTTTAAAATGCTGGCCTAACTGATGTACTAGACACAATCCTATAAAGATGTAATATGCAAATTGACTATCACTCCAACTCACAAGATGGCCACCCCTATGTGGACATAAGATGGCCAGCAGGGAAGGGCAGTTGGGAGGGACCAGGCCAGCAGGGTAGAGCAGTTAGGGGCAACCAGGCCTGCAGGGGAGGGCAATTGGGAGGGGTGACCAGGCCGGCAGGAGAAGGAAGTTAGGGGCAATCGGGCCGGCAGAGGACAGTTAGGTATCAATCAGGCTGTCAGGGGAGTGGTTAGGGAGCGATCAGGCTGGCAGACAGAAACGGTTAGGGGCAATCAGGAAAGCAGGTAGGCAGGCGAGATGTTGAGAGCCAGCAGTCCTGGATTGTGAGAGGGCAGTCGGACATTCCTCGAGGGGTCCCAGATTAGAGAGGATGCAGGCTGGGCTGAGGGAGGGACACACACACACACACACACACACACACACACACACACACACACCCATGCACAAATTTCATGCACCAGGCCTCTAGTTTATTTAATAATTCTATGATAACATATTAAGAGTTCCAGGAAATGCCAAAACGTGCACACCCACTTAGCCAGATTTGGTCAGTAGTTGCTTAATTGAGGCGGGGGCTTGGCATATGTGTGTTTTTCCAATGACAGTACATGACAGAAAGGTCAGAAGACTGGGTTCAAACTTGTTTGATATTATCTGACTGATGGCAATGCCATTCACAAGTACACATCACAAGCAATTGTCTTGACTGTAACTTTGAAAACGCTTTCTGTGCCAATGCCACCAGGAAACTGCAAGGGGCACAACTTACTTCTTTTTTGGGTTCCACACTTTGATTACGTCGCCCTTTCTTTGCTCTTGGTTCCTGAGTGACCTTTAGCTGTGGGCATCATAAAAGTAACAGAATATTATTCCAGACACTGAAACGCTTCTCTGCTGAAAATACTAGCTATGGACCCACAGGTAGGAAGTAACTCATTCCATTTCACAAAGTCACATTTTACTCATTGCTGCTCTGATATGCAGGGCTTGAAAGAGCTCATGTGCCTTTGGAAGAGCAGCAGTGCACTTAACTCTTCAAACAGGTAGGGTCTGATCAGGGTGTGGTGGCTTAGCTATTTGAAATGGGTTCAATTTCTTTCACAGAGCGAGCACTTTACAAACATTTACACACAAAAAAGGAGAAATGTCAGAGCAGTCTTTACAGTAAGGAGTGTGCATTAACAATGTTCACATTAAAAATAATAACTGATGTGCAGTTTCTATGTGGACACCACTCACTTGCTCATTGCTGGTAGAGGAGATACTAGATTCTGCCTCCTCCTCTCCACGGTCCTCATTCTTAGACTTCCAAAATCTTCCTTCACGAAGGAAACGCTGATGCAGTTCCAGCTCATCACAAGCCTTTTTCCAACCCATACTGCGTTTAACATGCAGCCGATGGACATTGACTGTGATGTCCTGTATGTTTTCAGAAGGAATCCAAGCCCTAGCAATATTTAAAGGTATAGTTAGAAAATTCCAAAATGGTGGTGGACTCCATCCATTGTAAGGTATGGTTTGTGGAAATTCCAATTTACTGACTTGTTAGCTATGGTTTGAATAAAAACTCTTAGCAATCACTGAAGTGTCTCAAATATCTCGGAACTATTTTCTTTAACCAGCTTAACACTGTCAGGGTTTATATATAAATTCTGCATAAGTCCTTTTTAAAATATTCTCTCTTATTGATCTAAATACTGTAAGTTACTTAAAATCTAGCTATTTGCAGATTAAAACAGAATCATTTGAAAATGCCGATATTTTCATGAGATTCATACATATGAGAGCTTCTAAAAAATGTTATTCAGTGAGTTACATTTATATCACGTCCCTACTCATTAGCTGAACCATATTTAGTGAATAGAGAAGTATCTGACTCATTCAGCGATGGAAGTACAGAGCTATGAACACAGCTTCACGTGTCTCTGAATTATGTGTAATATTGATCTAAAACTACAGAATGAAAAATGTATTTGGTTCCATTGGGAAAAAATGATGACAATTTTCCTGGGCACTATCATTAGATTGGACTGAAATAATATTGAGAATGCTCTTTACTGTGTGCTGGCGAAGGCACCACAAAGCATACAATAGTGAGTGAGGCCTATTTGATCTTGAATATTACTGACACCAACAAAGGTATTTTGGTTCACTTTTAAAAGCTGTGGGTTTTTATAGAGATTTCTGTTATAAACAATGCTGACTACCTGTAACAAACTACTGAACTGTGAGAGTATTTTCCCCTTAAATTATCTACTTGTGTCCTGGATATAATAAAATTAATTAATATCTATTCTTAACATGCGACTTAATTCTCAATGTTGTTCATAATACATTCTTTTTAAAATATATTTTTATTGTTGATAATATTACAGATATCTCATTCCCCCTCCCACTTTAATCTCCCTCTTCCCAGCCCCTACACACACCCCCAGGTCTTCACTATCCTATTGCCCGTGTCCATGGGCTATGCATATAAATGTCCTCTTTAATCAACTTCATTAATGTAGGTAATCAGATTTCACTTTTAAAGGTATCAGTGGGTATGTGATCTGATCTACAAAAAAATAACTGAAATGGCAAACAAACACTCCACAATTTAAAGTGTTAATAAACAGACGTACAATCTAATTTGGCTTTATCTATACATCTGTCAAACCTGATTCTTTGAATATATGCAGAATAAAATGGCTCAGGGATTTCATTCTATTTTTTCTTATAGGACCCAATTTTCTGGCTGTGCCACCCCAACCTTCAACTACATGCAGCAGAGTTAGCCTTGACAAGACCTTATCAGCTACTTTCTTATCCTTTTGCAGGCAAAATCTTACAAATCCCACCTACACTCTAAGGCAGTGGTCGAGAAACTGCAGCTCACGAGCCACATGCGGCTCTTTGGCCCCTTGAGTGTGGCTCTTCCACAAAATACCATATGCGCACGCACAGTACAATTGAAACTTCGTGGCCCATGCACAGAAATCGGTTTTCGGCTCTCAAAAGAAATTTCAATCGTTGTACTGTTGATATTTGGCTCTGTTGACTAATGAGTTTGCCGACCACTGGTCTAAGGGATCACAGTCACCTTTCTTTCATAGAACATTACAGCTTACCAAGGTCAAGGAACAAAGTAGCATATTCTGTGTGTACAGAAGGGACTAGTCTGCAACCATTTATTTATTAAAATTTATTTTTCCTACCTACCTACATGTGAAGATATGATGAACTGACAGAAGAATATTTATTGGATCATTACATAACAATGAGAATGTATTTAAATACCATTAAACTTATACACATTTATTAATGAAAACTTGCAGCTGGTAACCCTAATTAGCCATCTGTTCTTGTTGTATAACATGTTGCTTAAATAATTAAAACTAATGATCGTATTTATAAAACTTGATTTCTAATAAAACAAATATTCTAATAATGATAGAGAATCATTTTCAAGGTGTTCCTTCATCAATCCTTCACTTCAAATATTTGTATTGATCACACTATAACTAGGAAAGGAAAAAGACTATATTAATAGTAAAATTGTAGATTTTTTATTTTCTAAAATAAAAGCTTTCGAATCCCATTTGCCCAGAATCATTAGATAAAAATCTTAGAGAAAGTTTTTTTTGGGGGAAAAACTTCTGAAAATAAATTTTATATATAATGAGGTCTTTATGTATAAAAATTTCTTTAAACATTATAAACTCCTATAAGATAGGTAGTACTGAGGCCCCGATTTTACAGTGAGAAAACAAGGCTGAGAGAGACTAAATAACTTGTCTAAGACTAGAGTAGAAAATGATGGTGCAAGGATACAAATCTAACCACTGGACCTTCCCTGGTATCAATTTAGAGATTTCTACAGATCAGTGTTTCTACATAAAGGCTGCCCTAACTCACTGGTTTTGATGGAAAGCTGAAACAAACTGAATATGAGCATGTAACATTGAAAATTACCATTTAATAATCATACAATTCAAACATTCATTTTGTACTGAATTATGGTATTATTTTTTAATGTTTCCTGCCATTAAAGAAGTGTTAGCTAAGTGTGCATCTATCTATGAAAGAACAAAACTTTTTTGGAAATTTACACTATTCACAGGTTTCCTAGAATAAATTTCTACTTAAATTAAATGGAGACTAGGTAAAAATTCACTACGGAAGGAATAAAGTCTCTCATTCTGTAGCTTCTCTTACAGTAATAACAACTACAGAACACTTACCCTCCAGGCATAATAGGAGGAGGACACTTCATGAAATGTAAATTTAAATCCTTGGACAGTAACTTAGATCATGTAGCTGACTTTTGGCACTTTCTCTCTTTAATTTAGTATCTCTGTTAAGTGAACCCCCTACAAATTTCATGTGAATTACTTTTCCTATTGTGGCTTGTTTAGACTCATTAATTAGAGTCATATGACAGTTCACAGTACCTGAATTCACTTTTAGAGTCAATGCTTTTATGACACATTATTTAGGACACTATCTTAGACTTTCTGTGTTCAATGTGCAGTAAAATTTAAGGCCTTAATATCATAATAAAGGAGATAGCTATGGTTTAGCATTTTTGTGTGTCAAATAACTATAACTATACAAAAATAATTTTATAGTAATAAAGAGTTTTTACCCTTAGGATATATATACATATATTATTGTATTATGAAAATGCAAATTTTATGCATTGCTATATACATATCCCTAGGAACAGAAACTTTAAAATCTAGATCGGAAACTGTCTGATAATTCTATGCATATAATTCTTATATATACTTAGACCACAAGATTGAAATTCTATTCTACCACCGAGTTGCTTACTTTTGTCTATGGCTTTTGAAAGATGGTTGAAAGAACCATAAAGTCATTGGAATACTATGAAATGGACACATCTTGAGAACCCTTCCCCTCTCCACTGCCATCAGGAATTCAGTCCCAGCACTAACATGCATCTGAGTTCAACAGTGTCAGTTACTGAATCTATCTTGCTTAGTAAACAATATCTGAAATATACATAAAGACACAATTTACAGAAATCATTGTTAGCTGCCTAGTCAAGTTATGTGCTGATTGTTTCTTAAGAAACTTCATGCTGTTTCTGATAAAGCCACGAAACACTGATAATGGCCAGAATGAATCTTGAGAACTGAGAGCTCAGCTACTACGGTTGCATGTGGGTCGTGATTACCTTTGATGGTGGTGACCGAAGAAGCGGACGTCAACCTGATTGTCCTCCTTCTGCATGACCTTGGCTGGCCAGAATCCAAAACCTTTCATCTTAGCCCAAACCAGTTCATGATTAGGTATCTGCAAATAAAATATTCTACCTTGTCATATTACTTTTGTAAAGTATTAAGTATGTCATTAATACTGAATTAGTTAAGTATAACTTACTATTTTGAAAACATTATAAATACATAGAATTGTTTTCTTTTTTCTGGGATTGACTGACTTTGCCTCCAAGAAAGACACAAAAAACTAAAATGTGCATTCAAGTAGAAATATGGACCTTCATTTCTGAGAAGAGACAAGAACAGTACTCACTATCCTGTAGCACTATGAATGAGGCAGTGGGGGCAAACAGAAGGCCCTCACTGTGTTTCATGAACCTGTTTGAAATGGGAGGATTTTAGGCCCCGATTCAAATCTAACTAATCAGACATTCAAATTTTAAAAACTTCAAATAACTTCTGGAAGACTGAGTGCTCTCAGATGGCCTTTTACATCATATTTTTGGGGCTCCCAGAACACTCACAGGTTTACACATCATCACCCTTCCTGAAATCATCTCAGTTTAGGGGGAATTACACAGCTATTGACATATATAAAGCCTTCCGTTTCTTTTGAAAGAATGAGAAGAAAAGCAAAAATCTATTACATATATTAAGGGACTCAATGTCTTAAGTCCCTTGTTTTAAAGTCAAAATTGGATAACAATCCCAAGTTGTTTGTCCCATCTCTCAATTTTTACACTCATTAAAACCATGTCACATGATATAAACAAACATATTTAGGAAGGATTATAAACTTTAAGCAAACTGGAAATAAGCTTCCTTAGACCATCATACACTTAAGAGGTAGAACACAAAAATCACAAAATGTTACATACGCAAGGATAGCAGAACCAATTGTCAGGACGAGCATTTGACAAATAGAAGCAGTTCTTGCAAAGTTGTAACTCATCCAGCTGAAAAAGAAAAACATCAATTTTAGCCTACAAAAAATAAAGAGCTGCATTAAACTATATAAAATTGATCCACATAAATTAACATTCTTGTTCGTGTACACAAATAGCCTTGAGTTTTGTTCCTAAGCTTAAATTTTAAGTTTTCAGTAATATTGGAAAAGTCTGCCACTTCCCTGTTCAAACTACCCCCACGGTCGCCCACTGCATTTAAAAGAGAAGACAAATTCCTTACAAGGCCCGGCATGTCGGACCTCTGCGTTCCAGCCCCACCGGTACCTTTGGCTCCCTAGCACTTGGATTAAGCAACTTCCTCAGTAAGGTCTTCCTCATCTACCCATATAAAACATCCACTACCAGTAATAGCAGTCCTTACTTTGCTCACTCTCCATTTTAGTCTTTGTTTTCTTTCATAACATTCTTATACAACTTAAACATATTTTGTCTGTTTCTTATTTAAGTATTCCTCTTCAGCATACAGACCCATGAGCAGAAAGCCAGCACCTTGATCACCATTCCATTCCTCCTAACACACTGCCCAGCACACAATAGACACTTAGTAAATATATATTGAATGAATTTTAAAAAGTCAAATTTCAAATGAATGTAAGAAACAAAACTTTTATATTACTGAGACACTTTTGCAAAAACAATATGGTTACAGGTGTTTCAAATAAGTAAGACCATATACACAAAAAACCTTCCCAAAATAATATTTCATTTACTATATAAATATGAACTGTATTGTTTGGTGGTGGTTGTTGTTTTGCCTGTGTAGTATCCTTCGCCCAAAGAAGGTAGCATTTGTTGAGTGTCTCTGCCCCATACAAAACATGTAATAATAGGTGATAATAGGTAATAATAACCTAAGGGTTAATTAAAAAAGAACACCAAAATTTCTTTGTAGAAATTACTTAATAACTAAATCTCCTAGGATGTCTCTGAAAATAGTATGCCAGAATTTTCTGCCTCTATTTGAATTATTTCCCGTGGATATAAAAAATGAAAATAAATTGATATTTAAAGGAAACTGCAAAATTAAAATATGTAAGACCAGTGGAATTGTGAAATAAATTAATTTGGAATATAGAAAGAGTTTAATTATTAGGTATAGAAAGTACCTCATGACAGGTATCTTTATACAGCATCCTTGCTATGTCAGCTTGCTCACTGTCTGCTGTAATTGAAGACAGATATCCATTACCAATAATCTAAAATACAGACTACCAAAATTAACACACATTAAAATTTTCTTTCGACAAAAGTGGATATATACCATTTAAAACAAAATGTGTATTTTTTTAAAAGTTCTGACAGCGAAATTAAATTCTACAGGCAGCTTTAATTTCACATCCAGCACTAATTCTCTAGGTAAAGAGAATTAGTTTTGTTTACCTTCAAATGACAGAATATCAGTGGGAATCAACCAGAATCAATCACAGTGCTTATAAAAAAAACCTTTCAAAACCAAGTTTATAACTAAAACTATAAAAAGTAATACTTTGGTCGAAACCGGTTTGGCTCAGTGGATAGAGCGTTGGCCTGTGAACTAAAAGGATCTGAGTTCTATTCTGGTCAGGGGCATGTACCTTGGTTGTGGGCACATCCCCAGTGGGGGGTGTGCAAGAGGCAGCTGATTGATGATTCTCTCTCATCAATGTTTCTGACTCTCTATCCCTCTCTCTTCCTCTCTGTAAAAAAAAAAAATCAATAAAATATATTTTAAAAAAATGGTTTAAAAAAAAAAAAGTAAGACTGATCATTTAATGTACTAGTGTTTTGCTTTTGGACAGTTAACTCTATAAGCTATAACTACATTACCAAATACTTCTTAAGATTAAACCATAACATTACGTACTGATCATTAAATATTAATTTTAAAATAGTATTTTATTAAAGCTATTTCTCAACATAGAATATAAACGGTATGAAAAAAATGCAAAAGAAAAAGCAAAAAATATTCAACCTCCATAGAAAATCACTGTGTTGTGGAGAAGTAGCTGAGCATCAGCTTTGAACTCTTCATAACTTCGGTATTTCCCTTCATTCACTTTCTGCAGTGATTAAAAAACAAAATGGCAAGAGTTACTAGTAAAAATAATTTTTGCAATATGCTAACATGGTTAGAGTATGGGATGCAGCAGAATTTTTCAGAATAACATCATGGCTACTCCTGTGTCCCACAATGTTGACACACCATATATCAGAGAAACCCACAACTCCAATGCAATTAGAATGTGACAGTATGGTGTGTGTGGCAGATCTGCTGTCTTATAGACACCACTGTCCTTACTACTGATGTACTAGAGTCAACTTGGCATCCTGAACAGCTCCTTCTTTAACGATGATAAAAGGTACTGCTAAGCTTTGTAAACAATTAAAGCTTTGGCCAGTCAGTATCACTGATAAGAACTTAACTATATATTATAACATGGGAGAATAAAAACTGAAGAAAAAAAACAACTGTTAGCCTGTGACATAACTAAAGAAGACACATTTAGAATTCTGAATTGGAACTAAGCACTAATTTACAATCAATCTTCCTAATAAAAGCCTAGGTCCGTGGTTGGCAAACTGTGGCTTGGGAGGCCCCTTGAGTGTGGCTCTTCCACAAAATATCAAGGCCTGGCCGAGACTATTTTGAAGAAGTGGCGTTAAAAGAAGTTTAAAAAATTTGGTTCTCAACAGAAATTTCAATTGTACTGTTGATATTTGGCTGCTGGCTAATGAGTTTGTCGACCATAGGCCTAGGTGATCTTCACGCCTTCATGGCCTCATGCCATCACATGTTGGCTGCACACACAATGGACACGCACAGGTGGGCAGGGAAGGGCTTGACGCTGCATGTGCAGCATGGAGCCTGCTGGGAGTCCTGCCTCCTCTCACTCCACGTGTGGCCAGACCTGTGGGTTTGGCCTTCTCTGCACTGTGCAGGGAAGGTGAGGCCAGCAGGTCCCATGCAGCATGGAGGCCTGGGGATCCATGGCTCCAGGCTACCTCTTTGGGGCAATCCATCGAGGAGCCCCAGATGGGTGGGTGGATGGGGCCTACCTTTTTGGGGCGCTCAATCACAGGGCTCCAGCACTATGACAGGGTACAGGCCAGGCTGGGGTCCCCACCTCCACGCCCCAGTGCACAAATTTCATGCACCGAGCAACTAGTTCTAAATAATAAAAAGGTAATATGCAAATTGACCAACTCACAAGATGGCCAACCCCATGTGGACACAGATAGCTGGCAGGGGAGGGCAGTTGTGGGTGATCAGGCCAGAAGGTGAGGGCAGTTGGGAAGGACCAGGCCTGAAAGGGAAGGCAGTTGGGAGTGATCAAGCCTACAGGGGAGGACAATTAGGGATGTTCAGTCCTGCAGGGGAGGGCAGCTGGAGGCGATCAGGCCTATAGGGGAGGACACTTGGGAGGAACCAGGCCTATAGGGGAGGACAGTTGTGGGGGACCCAGGCCTGCAGGGTAGGGTAGTTGGGGGTGTGACCAGGCCTGCAGGGGAGAGCAGTTGGGGGGGTGACCAGGCCTGCAGGGGAGGGCAGTTGAGAGTGACCAGGCAAGCAGGGAGGGTAGTTGGGGGTGATCAGGCCAGCAGGGAGGGTAGTTGGGGGTGACCAGGCCAGCAGGGAGGGCCGTTGGAGGTGATCAGGCCTACAGGGGAGTGGTAAGGGGGTGATTAGGCTGGCAGGCAGAAGTGGTTAGGGCAATCAGGCAGGTTAGCGGTTGGGGTCAGAGTTCAGTCCAGGATTGTGAGAGGGATCCCAGATTGGAGAGGGTGCAGGCTGAGCTGAGGGACACCCCCACGCCTATGCATAAATTTCATGCACCAGGCCTCTAGTTAAAAAATAAAGGCCCAGGTGTTTCTTTAGGCACCAAAGCAGTATCAGGAATTTTCCTACATTAGAGTGCTATATGTCAAGGATTTCCATAACTGAATTCTCTACAGTTTTGCCTTTAGCTGCCAATGAGAAAGGTTAGGTGGGAAATCTGAGGGGTTTCTGGGATAAGACAAAATTTTTAAAAGGGAGTATGACAAATTAACTCAACAACAAGGAAGCATTTTCTTATCCTGGTGATATTTTTAGGAAATAGGTTTGAAAATTGCTTGGTTTCTAAATACTAAAATGTTAAAGCCTCTAAAGAATAATTAAGATCTGCCCTAACAGGTGTGACTGAGTTGGTTGGGCATAGTCCAGTGCACTGAAAGGTTGCAGTGTTCGATTCCAGCTCAAGGCACATGCACAGGTTCTGGGCTTGATCAGCTTGATCCCCAGGAGGAGGTGTGCAGAAGGCAATGTTTCATTCTCTCTCCCTAAAAATCAATTTAAAAAATTGAGATTGTGAAAAAAAAAATAAAAAAAATGTTATGAACCGACCTTTTTGTTGAAATCCTCCAAAACCCAATTCAATTGCCTTTTTTCAGAAGGCTTCCCCCCAGATCTCCCAGCTGAAGGTAGTTGCCTCCTGTCATGTGCCTCAGGGTTTACTATATTGCGTTCCGGATGCTCATACCCCCTTTGTGATTTGTGAGATATGCACCGAGGCTTGCATTTTGATCTGGGTTGTAGTGAAGCTCCTAGAAGCATAAAAATTCTGTCTTTCTTTCCTTTTCTTACAGTGCTTTTGCTCATGACCAGCACTTGCCAAGCACAGAACCAAGACAACAACCATCTATCTAGTGCCTTCTATGGAGCCATCAGGATCAAACTGGGGATCTGGGACAGTGCCATGCAGGAAAGGGAAGCTGCAGAAGCACCGGCAGGGGCAGGAAGGGCAACTAGTCAACATTCTTTCAGAGGCCTCAGTGTTTAGAAAAAGAGTATGTCTGAGGCTATGAAATCTGCCAATAGTAGGTAAAATTTAAATTGTTTTCATTCTAAGATTTGCCAGAACTCCAAGGTAACAAGCATTATTTACCCTTTCCTTCCCTAGAAATAATACATCTTTAGTCTTTCTCAGGTTCTAAGGGATTAGGAAACCTGTAAGATAATTCCAAATAATTCCTTCCGTCTTCCTATAAGCTTATAGCCAACCATAAGATTTTGAAATTTCAAAATTACACATAAATTACAAAATTAGTAATTCAGCAACCCTAACTAAAAATATATCCTAAGTTCTAGGAAATTTTGTTGCAATTAGTAATGAAATATTAACAAACCCAACAATCCTCAGCAAACATTGATAACATTAAGAATTTTGAGAATAATTATTTGGTTCAAGTTCATTTCATTGTTTCCCAAGACTCTAGATTAGCTCTATGCTCTAATTTTTCCTTGAGAGAAACCCCCAAGTGCTACTGCTAAAACTAGGGACCTGTGTCCAGATGTAAATTCTCTACATCTGTAATATTACATTGACCAGGATTCCATCCATTTGCTTTAACAAACAAGTATCAAGAATTTACAGGTTGCTTAAAACCAGCGGTGTTAAAAGGTCTGGTTGTACCAGAGTGATCACACGAAATTTAAAACAACAGGCACGCGTATGTGGTGGCCACACCTAGCTGGTTTTAGTAAGACACCAAGCAGGCACATCATCCTCAAGAAGGAATGGCACCCACGACCATGCTTGCCTGTGATCTCTCATTCATCTGGGAGCCACAAGGTAAATGGAAAGCAGTATGGAAGGCCTGGCTTTACCTCTTGTATGGTGGGGACGTCGACCGCTGAATGCACCAGCCTCCGGTACATCGGGTGTTTGCTGTCCTTTCCCTTTTTATTAAGGTCTATAGCCTGAAAGGTCATTAAATACAGCAGTTTAAATGCAGCTAGAGAGAGACAGGTAAAGCATCAGTTTCTAAAGAAGTGTACTTTAGAACTTAATAGAGAAATGTACATGCATTATATAGTTAAACATGGCATTCCTTAAGGTTTTGACAGAACAGTTATTTTGGAACATTCCATTTCATTTTAAACACTAGTTATCAATGAAAATGTTCTGATAAACAAATTTTTAAATGTAAATGTTTCTAATCCAATGCAGTTACAGAAATGTCAGTTCTAAAACAAAGACAAAAAAAAAAAAGCTAAAATCCTATTACAGAACTATTTACTGTACAAAAGAATTATGACAAAACTGCTCTATACACATTTCCTTGCCAGTCATTAACTTCCAAAGAGTGAAACAGAGTGAAGTCTAATTGGGAAGACCCCAGGGGCAGGACTCACCCTCTCCTTCATGCGGGAGACAATGAACCTCAGGTATGTGCTCATCTCTTGTTTGTTTGTATTTTTCTTCTTGATGCTCTGTTAAAAAACAGAAGAGGCCAGATATAAAATCTGATCATTTATATGTTATATTCATGTAAAAGACTTATATACATAAAAGATTATAGTCTGTTAGATTTCATTTAAAAAATGCACTATTTCCAATATTTGAAATTTGTATAGCAAAAATAACATGTACTGTAATAAGAATTGGAAAATATCACGATGTACTTGAAATACCTTAGAGAATTATGCATTTGTTTCTTGATATTTTGAAACTTAAACCAATTTTCAGATTAAAAGAAATGACAACAATAATGATAACATAATAATGACATAATATAGAATCACTGATTTTGATATATATTCATATATATTAATGACCAATGGCTGAAGTCCTTTAGGGTGCATTTTAAATTAGCATACATGCATGCTAACTTTCAAAATAACATTATTAAAAATCTCTGTCACTTATGAAATATGTGCAGTAGTGCAGTGGCACACACCTACATATCTGTTTTAAAGTGCTATTGATCTAGTCTATATAAATCCAATTTCTGTTAGTCTGGCCTAAAAGCTAATGAAGTTCTTCAATTTATCACTCAGAAAACCTAACTTCAAATGAAGAAGAAAAAATCCAGGATTCTATTTCTCTAATGTCCTTTCTAGACACCAAAGAAACAAAAACAAACATTCCCATTTCTTTAGCTAAGGTTAAGAAACCACAGCAGACACTGGGTCATAAGCATATGGCACAGCAGAGGACCAAGTAGGTCTGGGCTAACTACTAACAGATGCTTTAACTTTTTCAGGCCACTAGATTATAACTCCCAAAGAAACGTAAATGCAGGAAGTCACCTTTATATGCTTAGTACAGTTAAATTTCACACGTAACTGAGAAGTCTTAGCCAGAGCTTAAGCGAACTGATTATACACACAATGTTAAAATCCTATCCTATATAATAAAGGGGTAATATGCAAACCAATCGAAAGGCGGAACAAACGATCGCTATGACGCGCACTGACCACCAAGGGGCAGACACTCAATGCAGGAACTGTCCCTGGTGGTCAATATGCTCCCACAGGGGGAGCGTTGCTCAGCCACAAGCCAAGCTCGGGCTCATGGCTGGCAAGACCAAAGGTGGTAGTAAGAGCCTCTCCCTCCTCCATGGCAGCGCTAAGGATGTCTGTCAGTCAGACATCCCCCAAGGGCTCCCAGACTGCTAAAGGGCGCATGCCAGGCTGAGGGACACCCCCCCTCAAGTGCACAAATGTCATGCACCAGGCCTCCAGCATATTCTAAAAGCCCAGCGACTGAATGGCGGAACCACCACAAAAAAAAAACGGTCAACCAGTCGCTATGACGCACACTGACCACCAGGGGGATGCAGGGCTGACCAGGATGAGTGGCTGCTCCCGCAGCAGATAGATCCCTGCAGGCCAAGCCCCTCATCAGTGCACGATCCTGTGCACTAGGCCTCTAGTATATAAATAAAACATAGAAAAACATTTTCTTAGCTGGAGACTGTTTCATGGGCTTCACATTTAAAAATCACATTTAGCTGGGACCGGTTTGGCTCAGTGGATAGAGTGTCGGCCTGCGGACTGAAAGGTCCTGGGTTCGATTCCGGTCAAGGGCATGTACCTTGGCTGCGGGCACATCCCCAATAGGGGGTGTGCAAGAGGCAGCTGATTCTTTCTCATCGATGTTTCTAACTCTCTATCCCTCTGTCTTCCTCTCTGTGAAAAATCAATAAAATATATTTTTTAAAAATAAATAAATAAAATAAAATCACATTTAAAGTGACTTGCTCCCTCCACTTTTTGCCTGAATTCTTTGGCAAAATGCACACAGTCAATGGTTCCTTCCTTACCCAGCTTTATGATATGACTCGTGCACACATCTTCTAAATGGAGCTTCTTAAAATGCAGTTGGGCTTTACCTCTGAGCATCTGAGCTAGAATTTCTGGAGGAAAGTCCTATGCTCTCTGTATCTGCTTATTCACTCTGCCATTTGTTAATTCCTAAGGTGTTTGTGACATGACCAAGACCATGCACCAAGGGTGTAGATGTGGAGTTTAAAAGCTAATGACTTTTCTTGGACCCCAAGTTTATAATTTTGGGGGGAGAAGGGCTTTGATGTAGCTTGTGAAGTCTCATTTTTCACAAGATCCCCAGTGATTCTCACACACACAAACATGTGAGAACTATTAATTAGCCCCTACCATAAGCCAGACACAACAGAGAACTAAGCTCAGTTCCTGCATTCTGCAAGTCTCATAGTAGTGTAGAGGGAGTTCTCAGTGGGTCTGATGCACAATCAGCTATTAGCACTTTGGACAAATGATTTTTAGCATGGACACCTTCCCACAAACTGCTTTTTATACTAAATAGTTTGTTAAGCTTTTGGATATAGGAAAGAGAAAAAATAAGAAGGCCAAGAAAGCTGCTTTTTTTCTTACCTCTTAGAAAACCTATTCCCTTTAAAAGAAAGAGTAAAAACAATGCTTCTAGCTACATGCTCTATCACATCAAATATTTTGGGTACAGTACTAAAACTGTTGATCTCAAATATCAATCTGGTCATTAAATCATAAATTTGTATAAGTTCTGATGTAATAGCAATGTACATAGAAGTCTTGCAATATCTGTGGGGCTATGGTTCTTTTGGTAGATAACATATTCTTTAGGGGAAATATACGGCCACCACTTTATATAATGCTAAAGAGTAATGTTCCCTAAATATTGTCTACAGTCACCTGAGCAGTGATTATAATGATGAGTTCCACACTGTATCAACCACAACACAACCCTGGGTCATGGGTTGCTGTATATTTCACATGTACACAGAAATATGTTTTTCTCATACCTGTGCTCTAAACACCAATCTATGAAAATTTACTGTTAGTAGGAGGCTAACCTCTTTTGTTTTTGGAACCTTAAAAAAAAAAAAAAACACCAACTCAATATTTCCCTATGAGCAAAACTGATGCAGGACTAGAATCAGAACATAACTATAGCCAAAAAATCCTAACTACATTGGTCTATCTTTGTAACAAAAACACTGAAAGCACTTTGAATTGGTATGGAAAACCTTATTCTAATTTGCTTAACTTTAGGTAACTTGTGCACTAAATTGTTCTTGTTTAAATAAAGGTCCATTTTCAATTCCTACTTGCTTCCCACAGATAATTTACACAAAATATGGGTGCCATTATCTCACAATGCTTTGGTTTCACCTGTTTAAACACTCTTAAATGAACTGCTAAATTACTGCAACCATGTGCAAGCAGTATTTTTTCTTGTTGGGAAGAACGCAAATGCAGTGTTCAGACTGAGGGCCTTAATTTCACAAATCTAAATGATAAATGTAGGATGATAATCTGTTTTTTTTTTTGTCATGTTTAAGTTTGCTTAAAGTAGCTGGAGTATCTCTTTTCTACTATGTGAATTAAAAGTGGTGATATGAACTTGGAAAAAGGACTATTTCATACAAAATGTTAAAGGAAACACAAGGGATACAAGTAACTTCCATGGCTGAATAGATATGATCTACCCCATCCAATTCCTTCAAAATATTACTTCAGGAGGTCTTCTACCCCACTTAATAAAGTGCTATCCAGATTTATCTATCCCACTCAATGTTGATCAACTATGGCTATTGAATCACTGGGAAAAACAACAATATCCACTTATATAAAGTTGTGGAACAGGCACAATATCTGTGATGGAAAGTAATGAGGCCTTAGCCAGTTTCGCTTAGGGAATAAAGTGTTGGCTCACAGACTGAAGGGTTCCAGCTTCAATTCTGGTTAAGAGCATGTACCTTGGTTGCAGGGAGGTAACGAATCAATGTGTCTCTCTCCCATGGATGTTTCTCTCTCTCTCTCTCAAAACCAATGGAACAAATATCCTCGGCAGAGGATTAACAAACAAAAAAAAAGTAATGAGAACAATAGCTGTGAGGAGGATACAATGATCATGTTCTCTGCCTTGGTGGGACCTGGGTTTACAAGTGTGTGTGCATTAGAAAAAGCCCCACAATGTCAAGGTGCCACCCTAAAGTCAGCTAACACTGCTTAGGGAGGGGCGTGGGCACTCACTGTGCCAGTACCCCAGGTGTTCCTAACAAGTGGCCCTGACTGAGAAGCACCGCCTGGGGTTATTAAAGAGGCTATGTATTTACACAGACAGGTGCAGTGGTTCCAACTGTGAATTTGGCTGCTACACTGAGAAGTGTCCTTCAAAAGTCCTTTTAAAGGGATGCCAGACCTAGTAACTTTCTCTGTCTACTTGCTAAAACAGACAGAAATGCTTCATTCCTATATTTGTTCACTTTGCAGATACTGTACTAAAAACTTTATTGATTTGGGTTGGATAGAAGGATTCACCAAAATGAGTTTCACATCCAAAAAATTAATTCTGTTGAAAACCTCTCCCACTTGTTTATTTTGAACTGCTACCCAATCCATTTTTCTGGTGACAAATGTGGGATTCTATTGCAGACATAGGACAAGAACTGAAATGCACAGAAGCGCTCCGCTGGTGAATGAACAGCTGCCCTGGGGCACAGAGCGCTCTGCCCAGAAGCCTGCTTCCCAGACCACGGGCCAGGGAGCTTCCTCAGCAAACTGAAGCAAACCGAAGAGAGACCCTGAACAGATGCAAAACCTCTCCCATCTATGTGTAGGGATAAAACATTTGCTTAAGATGCTTTCACATTTGCTAAACTTGTATGGGCTTTCTTTCTAGAATTTCCAGTTACAATTCACAGATTTAGTATTTCACACAAGAAATCAACAAAGCATTGCAGCTTCTGCCCCAGAGCTGCATTATAAGACTTCTGGGGATTTCTTAGGTAATCTATAGGAGCTGCCTTACGTGACATTCACAACAGTGTCTCAGGTAGTGTCTGTCAGCCAAACCACGCCCCTTACAGTAGCCTAAGAAAAAGCTATGCTAACAGAAAGTAAAGGGTTCACTTCTAAGGTTAAATGCTGTCTATAACATAACTAAGCAGGCAGCTCTTCACAAGTTT